GAGGAGACAAGATGGAAGACAAGGTGACTTTGCAACTTGGAAGAGACAGACACTCCCATATGGGCCACACCTCAAGATCAAGACAAAAGAGGAACACAGCTACATACTTCCCTAGGGATGGGCATCAGGGATTGATATTTCAAATAAGTATCAATCACACTGAAAGAGCCCTATTGAGTCACTAGCCCAACCCCCAACAGGAAGAAACCCTGTCCCGTATTCATACTCATGCCCGCTTGCTACATGACTTGCTTCCTCATTTGGTCCTGGATTTAATCAATTTTACCTGAGCAATGGTGCTTGTAATCTCATTAGTTGACCATCATTTTGTCCCACCTCATGTCCAACTAAGTGAGTTCCCATGTTCTCCACCACCTTAGACCTGCCTTACCACATGGTTTTCCTCTATAAAAGTTCCTGGAAGAGACAACTTCTTGGGGAATACCTGCTCAGGCTCCCCTCCTGTCCCTCTCTCAGACAGGAGTTTTCTTTCCTTCAATAAATACATTCTGCTCATAACCTCTGTTTGTTCCTAAAATTCATTCTTCGGTTTTAGAGAACGTGAACTCATTCCAGGTACCTTTTAGGTTAGGAGATCATTTTCTCCCTATGTCATTTGGAGGTTCCCTGTATCATTTGGAGGTCAACCATCCAAGATCAGTGTTTCTCCCTGTATCAGTACTGGAGATTGAACTCAGGCCCTTGCGCTTGCCAGGCAGGTGCTTATTCTGCTGAGCTATCTCCCCCGCTCCGGGTTGTCTCTTTATCAGTATTATTTTTTTTGGCACGGGTGGGGCACAATTCTCTGTTCAAAAAGTCCTGGCCTATGCCTATGTCTTCGAGAGTTTCATCTCTTTTATCTTCCAGCAGTTCTGTTTTCACATTTATATCTTTGATCCTTTTATTTTTTTATTTAGTACAGGGCCTATAGGGTCTCCCTATGTAGATCAGATTCGTAGTGATCCTCCTGTTTTCAGCCTCCCAAGTGCTGGAATTACAGGCGCATGCCACCATGCCCAGCATCAATTGCTATCTCAGTAAGCCCCAGGAGTGGGGCCGGCACACCAGGGATTGAAACCCAATTGCTGTGCTCTGCCTAAGCAGGCGCTTTAATCCGCTGAGCTATCTGGCCAGCCCCTATTTTGATCGATTTTTGATTGTAGTTTAATACATGGTGTGATGTACAGGTCTAGACTCAGTCTTCTGCATGGAGATTTCAAATTTTCCCACCAGTATTTATTAAAGAGTCTGCCTTCCCACCAGTGTATGTTTTTGGCCCCTTTGTCAAAGATCAAATAGCTGAACGCATCTGGAGTGGTTTCTGCTTCCCTGCTCCCTTCCAATGATTCCTAAGTCTGTGTTTGCATCACTACCATGCGGTTTTCATCACATTAGCTTTGTCATAGAACTTCAGATCTGGAATTGCGATGCCTGCTGTTTTGCTTTTGTTGCCTGGGATTGCTTTTGCTATTCTGAGTTTCTTCCGGTTCTGGCTGCATTTTAGGATCCTTTGCTCTAGATCTGTGGTGAATGCTGCTGGTGTTTTGATCAGGATGGCATTAAGTCTGTGTATTAGTTTTGGAAGGGTGGTACAGCTATTGTGACTATGTTGGTCCTGTCAAGCTTCCTTCCTGGAGGCAAGTTTCAGAGGTTCCTACTGAAACCTTTAGGGCTGTCAACACCCTATTTGTGG